AAGTATATTAATTTCATTGTTAGTAAAAAAAAATAGGTTGTACACAAAACTAGTTAATTCACTAGTTAATTTGATTAAAGTAAACTTTAAAATACTAATTTGCTATAACTCCAACTTTTTATTAATATATTTTTATTAATATATTTGTTGCAATTTAATATTTGTTGCATTTTTTAGATGGATCGTCCTAGATATTCGGTTGATATGGGTAACCTCGAGCGCAACCGAACGAAAGAGCTTGCGAGGAAGAGATCCCGCAAAGGTAAATCACATATCGGCTCTTCATCTCAAAGTCGAGATGATTTTGATACGGGTTACGCAAGGAGGGATGAGGATGCGATGACCGACGAACAACTAGAACAAGAATTGCACCGACATAATTCCCTCTTTTTTCAAGACCAACCGAGGACCATCGACGAAGAAGAGCTCGAGGGCGACGATGTGGAGGAAGTAATTCCGGAGAGCCACGACGACGACGAGGAGGAGGGTGGCGGCAGCCACGACGCCGACGAGCCTGCCTCATCCCAAACCGGTACGAAAAAAGTAAATCTGAACTAATGGCTAATAATTTGTCTAAGTGGAAGGACCCGAACACCGGGAATTGGACCGCAACTTGCAATTGGTGCAAGAAAAACTATAGCTTGGGGATTTCCGGCGGATACGGATCCGCCACAAGACATCTTAAGTCCAAACACCCGGTGGAGTATGCAAAATTAGGCGGCGGAATGGGGAAGCAAACTCAAATATCGTGGTTTGCAAATAACCAACAAGCTTTTGGTAATTTCTCATACAATGATGCACAAAATTTGACTGGTATGGATAACTTACTTGTTGAAGAAAATTTGCCTTATTTGTTTTCTGAAAGTCTTGCTTTTCGTGATTATGCACAAACTTGTTTAAATCCGCAATATAGAGGTTATAGTCGCAAAACGGTTAAGAAAGAAATTTCAAGGCTTTATGGTGCGGAAAAGGTAAGGTTACAAAATTATTTTGCAAACTTTGATGGGCGTGTTACTGTATGTTCTGACATATGGGAGGATACTTATCATAATTTACATTATTTGGGTCTGACTGTACATTATATTGATAATGATTGGCATATGCATAAACGTGTTCTTGCTTTCTGTGAATTTAATGATCGTCACACCGCTGAACATATTTATATTTTGATTGAGCGTATTTTAATTGAGTATAATTTAATTGATAAGGTGTTTGCTATTGGTTTTGATAATGCTACTAATAATACTGCTGCTATTCCTAGATTGCGTGAATTGTGTGGTTCTACTTCTTTGATGGGTAGTTTTTTTCATCAACAATGTGCATGTCATGTTCTAAATTTATGTGTGCAAGATGATCTAAAAGCGTTGGGAGCATCTTTGGAGGTAGTCAAGGGGGGTTTAGACTTATTTGGGGTAATGGACAACTTAGAAAAAAATGACATGATTATTTGATAGAAAGAGGTGAGAAATATGTGGCTTTTCCTAAAGATTTGTCTATTCGTTGGAATAATACCTATAAGTTAATTGGAGTTCTTCTTAGATATAAACAACATTTTCCTGCTTTTATGAAACAATATGATAACTATATTATAAACTCGGCTGAGATCGACACCTGTGAAAAAAATTGTAATGCTTTGATATATTTTAATAATGCAACTGAAACTTTTAGTCATTGATGGATCGTCGGACCAGGGGTGGCCGGAATCCACCGAAAGAATGAAGGAGAGCGAACTGGTGAAATCTCAATGTCTCTTCTCAGAAGTGCAGTAAATCGAGTATTTAGAAGCGAAAGTTCAGAATCCCCTTCCACAAGCCGGAAGGAGATATTTATACTAAGGCAAGAAGGAAATACTTGGCAGCCAAGCAAAAGGAGCTAGTCTAATAAAAAAGAGACACGTGTAAAGTTATTCTAACAAACTACCAGACCTAATGAACCGGGAGCCGCCACGTGGAGAGCTGATTGGAGTGAGAGAGCCCTTGATAGCTGGCTTATTGATTTTTCTTCTAACATAATTCCTGCCAAGGATCTCGTATGATCGTGTGCGGGTAGTCTGGAATACTCTTTGATACGGAGGATGACGTGGCGATGTTTCCCGCGAGTCAAGTCTGTGTGGGTTTTGTCTAAGTGTGAGGTGCTTTCTTCCGACCTTAGGAATCACCGAGGTCGACGCTCGGGGGCTCGGGCTCATGCTGAGAGGATTTGCCCTGCTGTCTTCTGTTCCCACCTCGGCTGTGGTCAACTGTCTGGCGCCCGATTGTCGTTGACCCGGAGCTGGGCTTCCACGGTCAGACTTGGTATCGACCTTGGGTGTCTCGAGGTCGGGCTCATAACCCGCCGAGTTTGGTTGATTCCTGAGCTCGATATTTTCCCGACCTCGGGGTCAGGGTCGGGGTCGGTTGACTCCGTTAGCTGCTGAGTTTGATTGATTCCTGAGCTCGCTGTTCCCGACCTCGGCGGTCGGGGTCAGGCCCAGATTGTGGACTTGGTATTTTCTTGTCTCTGGTGGATCTGCGATGCTTTCTACCGGCGATTATGGTACCCCTGGGGTATACAGGAATATACTCCATCATGAGTCCCCCACTCTTCGAGGCGAAAAGTGAAACTTGAGGTGAGAGAGAGTAAATCTTCACTTTCCTGGGCCCGCTCGCCCGGCAGGGGTGCTGCTCTTCCATGGTCATGACAAAGGGGTACCGCATTAAAAACTCCGCTGAGGAAAAACCCTGTGGGAAAAAAATCCTAACGGAGGAAAAAGAGTATACTCCGCTATGCCATGAAGTCCGGAGAGGTAAGCGATGCCCTGCTACAGAGAAATCCGAGCTCGATCTTCGCGTGCTTCGTGTTCCAAACCTGCTTCATGGGTTAGTTGAGTTGCTACATCCACGGCCCTGGCCGTGGGTTGATAAAATTTTAAATTTTGAAAATCAAAGGGGATTGTAAAATATGTGCTGAGCTCGGTTTTCAAAAATATACTTGTTTGGTGCTTGATCCCGAGGTTGATGTATTTTGTCGAGCTCGTGGAGGTCTTGATTTTTGATTTTGATCTCGAGTCCCCCACATACCAGTCCCCCACTCTTGTGGACTTAGAATATTTTCTAAGTGCGGAAGAGTATAAGTGTGAGGGGGACGAGGCAGTTGCACTTAGCGCTTGGTGGACTTAAGAGAATTTGTGGCGTGTAGTAACGCTGATGTGTACAAATAGGAATCTTTAGACATTCCTTTTTGCAACATTTGTATTTAATAGCCGCTTCTCAGCATTTAATGTGAGGGATGGCGTTTGAAATGATAATACGGCGCCATCATTGCGCTTTTTGCACGCCTTTTGGAAAAAACCTTTGAGTTTTTAGGCGATTGGAGAGTAGTGCGCCACGTGTAAGCTTCCCGTTTATTTTCAAGGGGAAGTATAAAAGGCAAAGACTTTGTCTTTTCTCCTTTCCGCTTTCTTTGTGTTCGAGCTTTCCGAATTCTTCAGCAATCCAGAGCTTTCACTCTCCGGCTAGTACTACCGAAGTTCAGGCTTTTTCCGTCGACTTCCGCAACCAGGTTAGTCTCCGGTTCTTCTTCGTTGTTGCATGTTTGTCGCGGTTTGGACGGAAAACCTGGGATAAGGGTTTTTCCGTCAAACTGGTTACGTTGTCAATGGGGGGTTTACAGTCCCCCATTCTTGATGAGGTTGGTACCTCTAGACTCGGAATCGTACGACGATGTCGGTTCGAGTGTTTAATTTCTGTTTGGGGGTCGGATTACAGGTCCTTAACCCCGGACTCTGACTGTCTGCATGTACGTGTGTGTTTTTCTGCAGATTTTGAGAAAATGTCTTCCCAAGGTAATGCTGGAGATAGGGCCGTCCCTCAACACGAGGTTGGGAGCGCCGCTGTTGTGCATGACGTGCCTCCCATCCGCTTTATTAGGAAGCGGAGGAGCAGTAAGAAGAAGTCTGGGAATGTGGTGGGCACCCTTACAGAGAATGGTCCTCTCGTGGATGCCTGTGCTCTTACTGACGCCGAGTGGGCCGAAGCCAGATGCATGGCCGGTCCTACTGTTGATATCATGAGACCTGAGGCGGGGAGCCTGGCGTCCTCTTGCCCCTCCGGTTTTTTCGCGGTTCATCTGGACGCGATGGACCATGGGTTCCGCTTTCCGCTGCATCCCTTCTTCGTGGAATACCTTAACTGGGTTGGTCTGCTCCCATGCCAGGTAACTCCCAACGGTTTCTACTTGATTGCAGCTTTTCTCCTGCGCTGCCAGGTTCTGGGCCTGAAGGCTAGTGTCAGCTTGTTCAGGCATCTGTTCCAAATCGGGCTCAACAGTTCACCGGAGAACCAGGGCTACGCCCTTATTTCTCAGAGGCCCGATAGGAGCGGGTTCCGCCACTTCCGTCTCCTCGCCCTGGGTGGAGGCACAAGTTCGTGTTCGTTTGCACTGACAGGAGGGATGGTTCCCCCTTCACTGCCCCAGTGATCAGCTTAAACTTGCAAGTGTACAAGTGCCAATGTAGTAATAAAATCCGGTAGAAATACCGGGTCGAACACGAGGAAACGTTGTTTATATGATTCAAAAGTTGAGAATAGAAATTGTAAAAGACTTAGTAGAAGAGTATAGATTTTTGGTTTTTAAGTGATAATAAAAGCAACCAAGGGTTCGGGATTACTCCTAAACGACTCCTAGTAATGAATATATGTTCTTTCACCAATTCTTATGAGTGGAATGTCACTAAAGTATTCTAACTCCTGTTACGGCAGCGAGATTGTGATTAATTCTACGTGTGAATCCCGTCACGGTTCACATTCATCTAAAATTAACCCCATTGAAGATTAGGACATTATAAAATCCACCATATTCAATTAAGGTATATTTCTATCCACAATTAGAATATGTCTAAACCTTTAAGTGCACGATTTATAACTCAACGTTAATTGCTCAAATAAACCCAACGATATAATCATACGTTGTACACCGTAGTCATACACATTAAAATATAAAGGAAAGATCATAATAATTTGGTTGAGAACATACATCAAACACCTAGAATGCTTAAAGTTTCATCCCTAACCTTGGCTATAGAAAATTAGCTAGAACAATTCATAATGAAATTACAAATATTGAAATGATAAAATACAATGAAATACATAAGAAAGTAGTACCACAACTCCAAAGCTATGGTGGACAATGGAATTCCCAAGTGTAGAATTTCTCCCAAGACCAAGGGGTTGATCTTGGAATGCTAAAATGGAAGTAAAGTGTATGGAATATGGAATAATTTGTTGAAAGGGCTTCAATCCTCTTAAATAATGAGTCCTCAACGACCATTTTTGGACAAGGAATCAAGCTCCTTAATGAGGTTTGGAGTTTCGCCCGAATGATTATGATGACCGTTGCTTGTTTTAATCAGTTCCAAACGAAAGGCGGGCGACAATCGCGAAAGCCGGGCGGCTTTCGCGCGTTTAAAATGATCATCTCCGCTCCAGGGGTCGAAAGTCGGGCGGATTTTGGCTGGTTTTATTGAAATAATTCTACGGCGCCCAAAGCCGGACGCCTTTCACGAAAGCTGGGCGGCTTTCGTCTTCTTCGGATCCGGAGCATTTTCTTCATCTTCGGACGGCAATTGGTTGGTTTGCGAGTGAAAACCGGGCGGCTTTCACTCCTTTGGTGTATTTTCCTTTCCTTCTTTTGTTCCTCAGGATGTGTTTGGTTGACCTTCTCTTGTCAAAATCTTTCGTGTGTCTTTTCATCCTCGTATTTGGTCCAATTGTCAATTATAGTATTTCTAGCAAAACGAGGCATATGTGTGAGAGTTTTATTCTTTTAATTATAAAAGCGTTTATAAATTGTTGTATAAAAATACGTTAATAAAACGCTTATCAAATACCCCCACACTTGAGCTTTGCTTGTCCTCAAGTAAATTTAAAAACTCTTTGTGAAGATATAAAAACCTTAAGAAAAAAACTTTTGAAAAAGGTTTTGGAGGACAAGGGTTTTGCTAAAAAAAGTTATTTTCAGAAATTATGGACCAAAAATGAACAATTTTTCAAAGTAAAGTCACCCCCCACACTTATTCCACATTGTCCCAATGTGGATCACAAAGAATGATTTAAGCAAGGTAATAAACTCATAGCACATAACAAATGTTTAGAGGCACACTAACAACAAAAAGTAGTTTTAGCAAGACTAGATAAAGAAATGTTTCAAGTTTAGTATACTTCCCTTTTCTCAACTACTCCTCATCCTCATCTCCATCTTCTCGGCGAGGGAAATAAAAGTGTGGGTCGTAAGGTGGCGGTGGTGGGATGTTGAAATGACGCCCCAACTCCTGGCAAAAGTAGTTCACGTTCCATAGATGGCCTCCCATGCCTTCGATAGCCCGCCGTTGGTTCCGCAAATCCCATCAATGAACCACGAGCTCCGTATGAATTTGACCAAATTGTTCGGTCAAGTAGTCCATGTTGTAATTAGCTCCGGCTTGAGGTACGTGAGCCGCCTCTTCATGGTGCTCCTCATGGCCTCCCTCAGACTCCCCTCCTTCCATCATCTCTTCTTCATTGTCTTCCAGCACAACTCTATGAAATCTCTCCACGCACCTCCATGGTCCTCCGTGCGGTGGTTTGAAATAACGAAGGTGTGTCATAACATTAACATCAAGCACAACATGTGTCTCCCGTTCCTTTTCCCCTCTAAATCTAACACCAAAATGTTCAAAAATTTTAGAGAGTAAGATAGGGAAAATAAAGGCCTTATCTTGATTGTTGCTCAAGGCCGCGCACCATAGTTGCTTGATGATGATGCCTGATAGAGGAATCCCCTCATAACGATCAAGCCCGGTAAGCATCCTATATGCAAAGTAGAGGTCGGCACTTCAAATTTTATTGTAGCCGCTTGCTCTCGACATGACGTTGAATGAGTAGAGGTACATCAAAAGCCGGGCCCGGATGTGTGGTTGACCAAGGTTCTTGGTCATGAGCTCATGTCCTTGCAAGCCAAAATATTGCACCGCATCCACGGGGTTGTAGCTACCGTCGCTATTCATCGTTCCGGCTTGGGAAGGGGCGAAAGGAGTGCCATACTTGGCGATGCGAAATTGAGAGCGTAAAAGATCATTGGTGATAATGATTTTTACCCCTTTGACTCGGCTCTCAATTTTCTGTTGGGGGTAATTCCCGTCAACATTTGCAAAAAACTCCTTGACGAGTTCCGGGTAGAAAGGACCTTGGAGATGTAGCACCGTCTCGCAATCGATATTAGCGAAGGCCTCGATGAGCTGGAACTCATGGTCAATGGGTTGTGATACCGTCTTCTCAACAACGAAATCGTTGTCCCTAGAATCCAAATACCGCTCATAGCATTTGGTGTTGATAAAACGGCTAGACGGCAAGATGGTGGAGGAGGCTGCGGGTGCCTTGTTGTTCTTAGCCCGCTTAGGGTTGCTCGGGCCAGCCTCATTTCTCACAAATTTGCTCTTTGAAGCCATTTTTCCTGAAAACTCAAAAGATTATAGTCAATTTCTCAAAAAATTTGACAAGGTTTTCCCTAAAAATCGACTTTAATCACAATTTAGGACAACAAGGGACAACATACTCACAACCTCATTCATCAACAATTAATCACAATAATTCAATTGAAAATCCCCAAATTTGACAAAAAATTTCGAACCCTAAGCCCCAATTTTAACCAAATAGCAAAAATTCCAAATTTTTTGAAAATACCTACTTGGAAAGAGGTTACAATGGTTCATACAAGCAATATAGGCAACAAGAACAAGATATCATGCAATGAATTTAGCCTAAAAGCTATCAATTTGCATAAACCCTAAATTTCGGAATTTGCAAGAACAACCAAACCTATCGATTAAATGATGAAAAAGCTGTGAAATAAGGATTAAGGAGTGAAAATGAGTGGATATTACCTGATTTGAGCTTGAAATTTGAGAAGAAATGAGAGGAATCGGGTGTATCTTGTTGTTGTGCTCGAACGTCAGCCGGAGTTCGTAGGGGGTGCATGTGTTTGTGTTTAAAAGACAAGGTTTTAATAATTCCGCAACCCGTAAGCCGGGCGGCTTTGGCGAAAGCCGGGCGACTTTTGCTTGACAGTAGGATGCCTGCGCACGTAAGCCGGGCGGCTTACACGAAACCCGGGTGGGTTTCGATTTAATTAAATCCAATAAAACTACGGCGCCCAAAGCCGGGCGGCTTTCGTGCGTGAGAAAAATACCTGGAATGCAAACCTGAAAGCCGGGTGACCTTTATGAATGCCAGACGGGTTTCGCCTTTTTCACCTATTTCGCCCTTTTTGTTGAACTTTCGCTTCAAGACTTTGAACTTCTTGCCTTTTTCTCTCCCCCTACACTTGAGTTGCATTGTCCACAAGCAATAGGAGTATAAAACACAAAAGAAACAAAACATGTAATTAAAAAGGACATGAGATTGGGTTGCCTCCCAATAAGCGCCTTCTTTAACGTCGTTGGCCGGACGTTCTTCGTGATCAATCCTCCAAATTGCAAGAGATGGCGGTGGAGGTGTTGTGGTGTTCCATGTAGAGCTTTAAACAATGGCCATTCACAACAAAGGGTTCATTATTACCTTGTTGGATCATCATTGTTCCATACGGTCGGACCTCGGTGATAGTGAATGGTCCCGATCAACGGGAGACTTCAATTTTCCAGGAAACAACCGGAGTCTTGAGTTGAAAAGGAGCACTTTCTACCCAACTTGGAATTTCCTCCGACAAACGTTCTTGTCATGCCACGCTTTTGCTTTTTCCTTGTACATGCGGGAGTTTTCATAAGCTTCCCTCCGAAGTTCATCTAGCTCATCAAGATGTAGAAGTCTTCTTTCCTTTGCAAGTGTTGGATCAAAGTTGAGTTGGGAAATAGCCCAACGTGATTTGTATTCAAGCTCCACGGGGAGATGACATGGTTTCCCAAATACAAGCCTATAAGGAGACATACCAAGAGGCGTTTTGAAAGCCGTTCGATATGCCCATAAGGCATCATCAAGTTTCAAAGACCAATCCTTCCTAGAAGAGTTGACCGTCTTCTCAAGTATAGATTTGATTTCCCTGTTAGAGACCTCTACTTGACCATTTGTTTGAGGATGGTAAGTAGCTCCACTTTTGAAGAAGCATCCATATTTCTTTAGAAGGCCGGTGAAATGAGCATTTTTGAAATGGGTGCCATTGTCACTAATGATAGTTCTTGGAACCCCAAACCTTGAAAATATTTTTTTTTTGACAAAATCTACCACTGATTTGGCGGTATTATCCGGCAAGGCTATGGCTTCCACCCACTTTGAGACGTAATCAACCGCTACAAGAATGTACTCCTTCCCATGAGAGTTGGGAAATGGTCCCATAAAGTCAATTCCCCAAACATCAAAGATTTCTACCGCAAGAATCATGTTCTGTGGCATTTCATTCTTCCGGCACAAATTACCGGTTCGTTGACAATGATCACAAGCTTAAACATAGCTCCTAGCATCTTTGAATAAGGTAGGCAAGAAAAAACCACATTGGAGTACCTTAGCGGCTGTCCGGTCGGGGCCGTGATGACCTCCACAAGGGAGATTATGACAATGCTCAAGGATAGGTAGCATTTCTTCATTTGGAATACACCTCCGGATGATTCCATCGGCACAATGCTTGAAAAGGTAAGGCTCATCCCAATAATAGTGCTTGACATCATTCAAGAATTTCTTTCTTTGGTGGAAAGTGAACTCTTGAGGAAGAATTTCTTTAGCAAGATAATTCACGAAATCCGTGAACCAAGGTAATGACCCTCCACTAATCGCCATGATTTGTTCATAAGGGAAATCATCATGAATGATTTCTTGGTTGGTTGTGGCATTAGTTTCAAGACGGGAAAGGTGATCCGCAACGAGATTCTCACTCCCCTTTTTATCTCTAATTTCAAGATCAAATTCTTGGAGTAACAACACCCAACGAATTACTCTTGGTTTTGCATCCTTCTTGCTCATAAGATACCAGATGGCGGAGTGATCGATGTAGATGATTAACTTTTGTTCAATGAGGTATGACCGGAATTTATCAAAGGCATAAATAACGGCTAAAAATTCTTTCTCGGTAGTGGCATAATTTAACTCTGCATCATGGAGTAATCTAGAGGCATAATAGATGGCATGAAGTTTCTTGTCCTTCCTTTGTCCAAGGACAACCCCAATTGCATGATCACTAGCATCACACATTAGTTCAAAGGGTAGAGACCAATCCGGTGAGATAATAATTGGAGCCGTAGTAAGAGCCTCCTTGAGAATATTGAAAGCTTGTAGACATTGTGGAGTGAGATCAAAATGAGCATCTTTGGCAAGTAAATCACAAAGTGGCTTTGCAATTTTTGAAAAGTCTTTGATAAATCGCCGGTAGAAACCGGCATGCCCCAAGAAACTCCGGATGGCCTTCACCGAGTGAGGTGGAGGCAACTTCTTAATGACTTCCACCTTGGCTTGATCAACTTGAATGCCTTGAGGGGAAATTTTGTGCCCCAAGACTATCCCTTCGGTCACCATAAAATGACACTTCTCCCAATTGAGGGACAAATGGGTTTCCTTGCACCTTATCAACACTTTCTCAAGATTGTGAAGGCAAGCATCAAAAGCATCTCCAAAAACAGAAAAGTCGTCCATAAAGACTTCCATGAAATCCCCCACCATGTCGGAAAAAATGGCCATAACACATCTTTGAAAGGTCCTCGGAGCATTGCAAAGACCAAATGGCATTCTTCTATAAGCAAAAGTGCCAAAGGGACAAGTAAATGTGATCTTCTCTTGGTCTTCAGGTGAGATAGCTATTTGATAATAGCCGGAAAATCCATCCAGGAAGCAATAGAATTCATGACCCGCAACACGTTCAAGCATTTCATCCATGAATGGAATAGGAAAATGGTCCTTCCTTGTGCCGATGTTCAACTTCCGATAATCAATGCACATCCTCCATCCAGTGACCATTCTAGTAGGAATTAATTCATTCTTACTATTAGCCACAACGGTAATTCCTCCTTTTTTAGGAACCACTTGTACGGGGCTCACAAAATTGCTATCCGAAATAGGATAAATAATACCATAATCAAGGAGTTTGAGAACCTCCTCCTTGACTACCTCATTCATGTTGGGATTCAATCTTCTTTGATGTTCAATGGTGGGTTTATGATTTTCCTCCATGAGGATTCAGTGCATGCAAAGAGAAGGGCTAATGCCCTTAATGTTCGCTAAGGACCAAGAAATAGAGGACTTGTGAGCCCTTAAAATTCTCAATAATTTTTCTTCTTGCAAAGAGGTGAGTGTAGAAGAAATTACCACCGGGTAAGTAGAATCATCTCCAAGAAATGCATATTTGAGATGAGCCGATAGAGGTTTGAGAGTAGGCTTTGGAGCAACTTCACATGAGGATTTTTGGCTAGACTTCCTAGCACCAAACTCTTCAAATTTAGGCCGGAATTTGGTGTAGGAACCTTCGGATTGAAGGTACATCACTTCCTCAAAAAGTGCAGGAATTTCTTCATCTTCGGTGCATCCTAGCAAGATGCATGCCTCAAGAGGATCTTCATGTATCTCCCTATCAAAAACTTCTTGTGTCAAAGTATCAAAAATATTGATACTAAAACATGTAGAATCATCATGGTGCTTCTTCAAGGAATCCCAAACATGGAATTCTTGCTCTTCCTCTCCAACACGAAATTTCACAACACCGTTCTTTATATCAATAAGTGCAGCCGCCGTGGCCAAGAAAGACCTTCCAAGAATCACCGGAATTTCCATCTCCTCCATCTCTAGAACAAGAAAATCCATCGGAAAATAAAATTTTCCAACCTTCACAAGAACATCCTCCATTACCCCAATAGGATAACGGATGGTTCTATCCGCCAATTGTAGAGCTATAGTTGTGGGTTGAAGCTCCCCCACACCTAGTTTCTTGAATAGAGAATGTGGCATAAGATTAATGCTAGCTCCAAGATCACATAGGGATTTTACCTCCCCTAGGCTTCCAATAGAACAAGGAACGGTGAAGCTCCCGGGATCCTTCAATTTTGGAGGTAATTTATTTTGGAGAATAGCACTAAACTCCTCCGTGAGTGCTACGGTTGCAAAATCCGCCAACTTCTTCTTGTTGCTAAGAATGTTCTTTAAAAATTTTGCATAAGCGGGGATCTCCGCAATAGCCTCGGCAAAAGGAATATTTATGCTCAACTTGGTGAAGGTGTCTAGGAACTTTTTGTATTGTTTGCTATCATCTTTCTTCTTCAACCTTTGTGGGTAAGGAATTGGGGGAACATAAGCCGCCATGGATGGTGGTGGTGAGACATGCTCCTCTAGATCTTCATCTCCTTATTTCTCCATGGACTCTTCTTGAATTGTTTGTCCCTCCATTTGTTTACCACTTCTTAAAGTGATAGCCATAACATTCTATTTTGGATTGATCTCCGTTGTAGTAGGAAATCTACCATGCTCCCTAGTGGTTCTTTCTTGAGCT